GAGTTGAGCCTATCCTGTTGTGCTCCTTGGGCCCCTCTGAGTTGTAACCTGGATCTAGCTAGGTGACAGGAAATTCTTGACCTTTGGCAAGAACCTTTCACCTGATGTGTTGGGAGGTTAGTGGAGCATGGTGGGGGAGGGGAAGGACTAGGACAATGCATTGGGCTACTGGGGCACCCAGGGAGGGCCACCCTTAGTGCCACCCCTTCCCAGCACTTTCACTGTGGGTCCACTGCCTGTCAGTCAGTGGCTGAGTCACAGACGCCCTGGGCTAGGGGCTGTCTGCCAGAAGCTTGACTCACTATGGATGACTGGTTTGGCTGGCCCGTGCCTCTCTTTCCTTGTCACAACATGCCAAGGGTCTGCTGGAGCTCCCTCTGGAACACCCCTCTCCTAGGAGAACCCTTTCCTGAAGCATTCTCCTGGAGTACCCTCTCTGGAGTACCCCTCCCCTAAAAGCACCCCCTCCTGGAGCACCCTTTTCCTGAAGCATCCTCGTCCTGGACAGTTCTTCTCTCACATGTCCTTCACCTTGGCTTCAGACTGTGACAACCCATTCCATGGCAAGCTTCTTCCTGTCTGTCCCAGTCCAACAGGAGCCAGTGTGTGCTAGGGCTGGATGGACAAGCAGTCCCCTAATGCATGCAGCACTCCAGCCTCATTGACTCCTCAGGAAGACAAAAGCTAAACTCTGGTCTGGTAGTGACTCAAAGAGGCATCATCCCAACACCACACTTAGTACCAGCATTGGCCCCAAAGTCACATTTTCTATTAATAAGCAGCACACGTTTTCAGGAAGTAACCTACCCGTCCGAGAGCTGGGCCTATAAATGAGGCCTGGGGTCAGAAGGCTGAAAAGCAGATGCTGAGCCTCAATCTCCAGGGTAGGCATCACCCTGTCCCTCAGAGGTGAGGCTGTCAACCATGGGAGTGGCACTAAGAGCCACCGAGATCATTTCCTGGCCCCAGCCTTCCCACACCCTGTTGCCATCATTTCTAAGCACTGCTCAAAGCCAGCCCGGAGTCAGCCCTGACCCCCAGGTCTTTTGTCAAGCCTCCCCACCCTATATTCACGCTGTCAGCCGGCCCCTCGGGACACACCTTATGCTTAGTCCTTTGGTTGCAGCCCACACATGTCCTGACTTTTCTCTTCACTAACCTCGCCCCTCCCAGCCTCCCAGGCACGGCTCTTGGCTTGCCATGCTAAGGTGCTGCAAGAGGCAAGATCACCCCTAGCCCAGGGGCCACCAAACAGCCTAAGCACGGAATGCTAGCACTGGCCCTCTGCCTGCTGTCAGAGCCTCTTCCTGGAGGCTTTTCTCTGCTGCTCATCCTTCAGGGAGACCAAGGCAAGGTCATGCCCAGTGGCTTCCTTCCAAACTGGAAGATAATGACAATTCCCTAGGCACACTAGAAGCCACTCCACTGCAGGGAGAGGTTTCTCCCCACCTCCCCACCGCCATTTCCCCAACCCCAGACAATGAGTCCACAATCAGGAATCCCATCTTCCAGAAGAGGGATCCTGGGCATGTTACCTGGCACTCAGAGCCAGTTGTAAAAAGGGACCTTATTGCTGAGGAAAATGAAGAATAAAAAATGATGCCAAAGATTTTTAGTAAGATAGGTCCACCCACGGCATGCTGGCCATGCTCAAGTTCCATATTTTAAAGGATCCATATTTTAAAGGATCCATATTTGAAGGATCCATATTTGAAAACATTTAGAGGACTTTGTAAATTGTCCTCTGACTGCCATGTGTACACTTGAAAAAGTACAAATCAAATAAATTTGAAATCACATCTATGTGTGCGTGTGTGTGTGTGTGTGTGTGTATTAAAGCTTCAATTCCCCAGAACCACCAAAAATGCCATCATATATGTACATATACGTATACATATGCAAATGCATGTGTCTGTGTGTGCAGCTGTTATTTCACATCTGCTCTCTACAGTTCAGCCTCCTCCTTGGGCTCCTCCACCCTGCTCCCTCACTGCAGTGCGAGCTGCTCACAGCACTGCTATACAGTTTCGAACCGAACCCTAAGAAAGCTGGGCAGAGTCCTGGCCCCCAGAGTTCACACCTGTGCAGCACCTCCCCTGGGATGTGAGAGGGACTCTGAGACGGAAGCCACTTTGATGGTGAGGATATGTTCTCAGCAATATAAAAGGAAGTAAGGTTCCCTAACCTGTTAAATTAGGTTAAGTTTTTCTCTAGGGGAAAGAGAGAAGGGAAGAAGGAAGGTGGGAGGGAAGGAGAGGAGAAGACAGGCAAGCGGGAAGGAGGCTCCTGAGGGCTTCAGCATTACCAGAGATCTCAAGGCCAGAGACAGACAGAAAGAGACACCTCTCTTAGCCCAAAGGAAGCAATTGCCTCTGTGGTGGCGTGCTATGTGGTGAGTGAGGAGGTGGCCTTAGGACCAGCCCTCTGCCGTCCAGCTCTAAGAACTTGAATTGTGCCACTGACCTGAGGCTGGGGAGGAGCAAAGTCTTCTCTGGCCTCTGCTTCAGGCTGTCTGTCATGTACTGCCAACTGTTCCTACTCTGGGGACCAATTGGAAGAAGTCAGATATGTGGCCAGGGGTTTGTACATGACTCAAAGTGAGCCAACTGGGGTCCTTGAGCGAGTGGGGATAGGGAGCCTGAGGGCTGTTGAGGTTATTGGCTCATAGTGAGATCTTCAGGGTACAGCCCAGGAGCACCAGTCACCACATGCCCTACTTACCTTATCTCACCAAGCCAGGGTCCCAGAGCAAGAAGTTTCGAGAAGGAAGGGCCTAAAAACCCTAGCCAGATCAATCAAGAAGGGTTGTTATGCGTGCACCCCAGGACTTCAGCCTTCCAAACGAGCCCTATTCCCTCCCAGGTTAGCCAGCACCCTGTCCATACAGCCAGAATTAAAGGCTAAGAGGCCCCGTAGAGAACAGAGCTAGTGCAAGCTGAACTCTGGGCCAGACCAACCTCTTCTGGGGTACATGAAGTTGGATGGGAGAGAGCTGTGGGAGCAAAGGCCCCAGGCTGCTCATCACTGTCCCTTGATCAGAGCTAGGGCCTCTGTGGGAATAAAGCCTGCTTTTGCTCTCTCTGCATCCTCCTCCATCTTTCTCCTACCATTTTCCCTCTCCCCAGTCTCCCTTTTGTCCCTGCCCCCCTCTTTTTACTCTCTTCCAAGACCTGCTCCTTCCCTTTCTCTTTCTCCCTCCCTCCCTCCCAACCTTCAAGCATAGCTGGCTGCCTCCCACAGTCCTTGCTCAGCTCACCCTGCTGGCCCTGAGGTCCTGGGCAGCCAGGTCCAGCCAAAGCCAGGGCAATTTTGGAAACGTGCTGGGAGATTTTGAATGCGTATCCTCTAAGTTCTCTCTAAACTGGTGCCTCAGTCCAGGGACAAAGAGTGTCCCTGTTTGTCTGTCCAGTGTTTGTCTGTATTTTCCTTTCAGGCCTGGGGAGCCCAGCCTACAGCTGGCTGGGGGGAAGAGGGAGAGAGCAGCTAGTGTCATTGTCCTCCCCACCACCACCACCAGCCCAACACCATGTGGATTAGGCAGGGATTGAGCTGATGAGGGGACCAGCTCCCCAAATGGCTCCCTGCCAGTGCAAGCCAGGGAGTCAGACCAAGGGTACCTCTGGGGCTGTGCTGCAGTTCCATTTGCTGTGAGCAGGATGGATGGGATTGACACCCAGACAAACCATTGCCTCCCTGAAAGGCTCCCGAGACATCCAGTTCCTGCATTGCTGTGACTGCTGGCTAAACCTGGGCCAGTCCAAGGGACCTGCAGTGAGTACTGGCCACCACAAGACACCTGTCCTCACCCCTTCTCTCTATTTCCCTGTGACCTAAGGAAGGTCACTGCCACTTCAGGATTCTGCTTTCATGGAAAAAAAAATATTCTCCCTGCCCATTTTCTACTCTGAAGAGGGTAGAAGGTTGGGGTTGAGCAGATCCAGAGATGGGAGGTGGGGAGACCGCATCCACCATACAGAATAGATGGCTGGCATCGGTAACCATCCTGCTCCGCTGCCACTATCAGCTGCCTGAGTGGCCAGCTTCTGTGATCCATGCTGGACAAACAAAGCCCTGTGTCCCGGTGTCCCTGGGCCAGAGTGCTCTGGGCAGAGCCATGGTCAGATTGTGAGAAAGAACTAAGGTGACCACATAGTGACTTTTGTCAGGTCAGCCCAGCAGTGGCCACCCCAGGATGTGAGACTCCAACTGTGCTTCCTGGCTCCTGGCCTCTCCCCATGACCCCCACAGCCCTGGTTCCTTGGACCAGGACAAGGAACCCCCATGGACATTGCTTGTCCCCATCCTGTAGTTTTGTCTTCCCACAGTCTCCACATCAGGCCTCTTGAACAATCAGGCTGTGGATGGAGTAGCTTGGGAAATGGGACATTTCAGATACCAATATGGCTTGCAGACCTCTGTAGCTGGTGGCACACTGGCTCCTATGATGGACCACCCTGGGCTCAAGACTCACCATATAGGAACCTGGTTTGTTTTGTTTGTTGCATTTCCCAAGCTCATGCCCAGGACTTTGACAGACTGGGAGGAGGTGCTAAGAACACCTGGCAGAGATGCTGGGGTCTGGGCATGTACATGATCCCATGATAGCCATGAAACAGATTTGGAGGATCACCTGCCCAGGCAAAAGGCTGAGCTCAGAATGGGGAGTCCACTCATGCACCTCCCATGGCTACATATTTCAGCCATCCTAGGTCAAACTGATGAATAAGCCTACGAGCTGTGGATCATTGGGTCCAGTGCAAAGACTTGGCATATCTGGTCACAGTCACACTTGATAGGGATGTGGCCTCTCTGTTGTCTGTCCCCCCATCAGGCCCTGGGTCTCATCACAGCCTGTTCCTTGTGTAAAAATGTGGAGTTCCTTCCACAGCACGTTCTAGAGCTTCCTGACAGGTTGCTCTAGGCATTGCTGCTGGGAATACGGGAAGCCTGGGAGCCTTCTAACAAGTCTGAAGGGCAAGAGACCAGGCAGACAGCAGAGACAAGGGTGAGTCCCCACAGTTTATTATGGAAGCCAATAAAAGAGCCACATTGAGTATTTCACAAAATGCATGACATTCATTGTTGTAATATGCAACACGGAATATTATATACACATCAAAACCACACGACAGCCGAAACACACACACAGAACCAGCTCACATCAAAATGAGACACACAAGTGCGTTCTCAATATTAAAACAACTGTGATAAAAGCATATTAATATTTTGAACCATGTTTACAATAAAGAACAATTCATATTTTACTAAATAACAAATATTTAACAGCAAAAACTTTATACTAAATATCTATTTTGAATTATAACAAAAATAGTACTTATAATAGTTTATAAAGACAGACACAAAATTATAACATTTATGAAAAAAAAGTTTTGTGTATAAAATAATAGAAACCTGGGCAGGATCAAAATGGTTGCCCAGAATGCACACGCCAGCGTCTAACTTTGAAAGTGCTTCAGTCTGCAAGCCCGTGGCAGGAAGTCTTTGTGGGGTTTGTTTTTTTTAAATGTCAAGTTACAATAGTTAGGAATGTGAGAATACATCACCCATTAATGCTACCACAACAAAACACACGAACACAGAACAGACACATCTACAGGAGTGAGACAGGTGCCACACCGCGGGTGCCTAGGCCAGGTCCCTTTGCCTGTCACCTTTGAGACCCATCCAGGCAGACCATCTTTCACCCTCACGGGGATCCTTCCCCCTCAGCTTTTCCTTCACTACACCTCCTGGGCTGGCCCCCTGAAACGGAAGGCCCCTGATGCCTGCTGGGGTCCTCCAGTCCCCCTGCCCCTCACCAGGGCCAGAGTTACATGCCACATCTTCAGTCTGAAACAGAGGGCCGCAGGCAAGCAGGGTTAGTGTGCAGGAAGATGAGCCTCCCAGACGGGCACTGGTGTGTGGAGTGTGGGCAAGATAAGTCTTTACACAGTTTGGCCTGTTTCAGAACTGAGAAAGGAGGCTGAGGGTTTACAGTTATTTTTGACTCCACCATAATTTTGCTGGTATCCTAATGCCGTCGTTTGTTCTGGTTCTGTCAGAAAAATACAGACCAGTGAAACATGTGGGAAACGTGGCTTATGGGACTTTCTGTGTGGCTGGTGAGATGTGGCTGACCCACATGACAGTGGCCATCCAGGGTCAGGTCAATGCGGACTGTCGTTCTGTGTCTCTGTTTTCTGGAGAAAAGGAGCCACTTCCTTAGGAACGGGCAAAAGCGATGGATGATAGATGGAAATCAAAAGCAAAGAGGAATCTGGAAACAGACTGAGTTGCCTAGAGACACACTGGAGCCCCAAACCCTTCCCAGGAAGGTCCTGCATGGTTAACCCTCAAACTGTCAGAGGCAGGAGTCCCTCACCTCCCCACCCAGTCACCTTCCACGCCCCCACTGGCCTTTCTGCAACTGAACCACTTCTGACAAATCACTTATGCCCTGTCCTCGTCTCCCTCCTCTCCTTCTCCATTGCTTTCTAGCTACAACCTCCCCTCCAGCTTCTCCAGACCCCACAGGGCCTGAGGCACCTCAGAGAGAGGGCTTTCTCCACCTTATCTCTCTCCTTTCTTCTCTACTCCAAACCCTGAGCTGGGCTTAGCAGATAGTGGCATGGGGGTGGGAGTGGGTATGGGGTGGGGGACTCTTCCAAGAAAGAGCAAAGGGGCAGAGAGTCAAGGAAGGGAAGACAGAAGTCCCTTCAGAAGAACCCGTATCCTTATGCATCCTCACCAGGGGAGTGGCCGGCACTGGGACAGGCAGTGAGGGAACAGAAAGTGGTGGCCCCCAGACCCACATGCCCAGGGCTTTGACAGCCTGGGAGGAAGTGCTAAGACCACCTGGCAGATATGCTGGGTGTCTGACTCTGAGGTTAAACTACATCTTTTGCCTAGAGCCCAGGAGGGCTGTTAACCCTCTACCAAAGAACTGGGTTAGACCAGACACACTGTCTTCTTGCCTCACATAAGCCTTGAAAAGGACAGCTAGTTCAGAGGCTGGCAGGTGTGTGCATGTGGTGGTGGTGATGGTGGTGTGTAGGTGTTGGGGGGTAGGTGCTCCAGACCTCAGTCTAGCCAAGGTCAGTGAATAAATACGGGACAGGGGCAAGGGTGGGCAGCTGGGAGCCCAGCTATAGCCAAAAGCCACCCGGCTCAGTTGGTCCCATGGGGGAGGAGTGCCAGTGTCCCTGCCCAGGGCCACCAAGGAAGATGCTAAGGATTAAGCCTATAATGCACCCCAAGGTCAGAAGACAAATAGCAGCGACAGGTAATTTCCAATGTCCAAACTGGCTAGGCTGGTATGGGCCCCTCAAGGCTGTGGCAGCTCCCACCCTGCCTAGGGTTGCTTAGACTAGAATTCCCAGAACACAGTTCTGGGCACCATTAGAGCAGTAACAGAAGGGAGGATGTGGGGCTGTCAAAGAGTGCTCCAAGGGGCCCCCTTTTCCTCCCTCCTGCCTTCAAACAGCCATCTGACCACCCACAGAAAGACAAGGGGGTAAGGGAAGGAAGCGTTCAGAGGTCAGAGCATATACTGCAGCTCAACCCACTGGTACTAACACTGTCATGGGCATACAGTCCTGGCTCTGTCCCAGGAGCTAAGCTAGGGGGCAGTGGAGATCCAAGAGTGGGAGTCAGGAGGGGGCGGGGCCCTTCTGTCTTTGGGGAGGGTTTGCCAGGGAAGAGGCCAAAGAACAACATAGCGGGGCTGCTGGCCTCCCACCCAGCCCCACCCCACCCCACAGGTTTCTATCTTTGCCCCCCATCCTCTCTGCTGGGCTGGGCTGGGCTGAGACCAGAGTGAGGCTACACCGTAGCACTCAACATGGCCTCCGTCTCGGGCAGAATCTCATTCTGATTGGCATCCAGACCAAAGAACTTGACACTGAGGCCATCCACCGGGTGCAAGACAGGGACCAGAGTGATGCGAGGGAAGGTCCGCGTGGCCAGCTCGAAGCGGCTAGTGCTGGCCAGCTCCACCGCCAGCACCTTCAGGAACAGCTTGGCCAAGTGCTTGCCCAGGCAGGTCCGCACGCCACCGCCAAATGGGAGGTAATGGAAGCGGCCATCCTTATCCTCACTGCGTGCCTGGCTGAAGCGGTCAGGGTCAAACACATTCACATCCTTGAACACAGGCGCTGTGTCGTGAGTGTCTCGGATGCTATACATGACACTCCAGCCCTTGGGGATCTGGAAACCCTGGAGGAAGACCGGGCAGAGAGTAGGGTGGTCAGAGCCAGAAGAAGCCCACTTACCTGTACTCATTCTCATTTGCACAAGGCCTGTTCCTAACCCACGTCACTCCCTCAGTATGCTAGATCAAATCCCCATACCTAAAGATCACAGGGGTATCCCAAGTGGCACACAAGCTGGCTTCATTCAGCTATGCATTTGGGGTGAAGCATCTCCCACAGGACTGAAAGCTACTAGAATCAGGCACTGTTCCCTACCCCCTCACCTTACTGAGGACCCACAAACAGCGTCTAGCCAAAGTCCCAGCCACCCCACTACCACCAGCACTTGAACCCAGTCTCACATCCAGTTCGAAGGTCTGCAGCACAGTGCGGTAGCCGCCCGAGATGGGTGTGAAGAGCCTCATGACCTCTTTGATGACGCAGTCCAGGTAGCGCAGGCCACTGAGTGTGTCCAGGCGCAGGGTGCCCTCACAGGGGCAGCCACCGCCATGGAGCAGGCCCTGGGCTCGCAGTTCCTCCCGCAGCTTCTCCAGCACAGCAGGGTGTTTTAGCAGTTGCATGATCAAGGATGTGCTGGCACTGGCTGTAGTGGCATAGGCTGCAAAGATCAGCTCCAGGGTTCCATCCTGTACAGCAGAAAGAGGCATTCTGGGCTGTTTGCAGTGGCCAGTTAGGATGATCTTTGCTGCTAGCTTTCCCAGGAGCCCATCTGCACTGAGCCCTACCTCCTGACTGCCAACAGTGTTGCCCTGAGCCTTACTCTCGAACGGCTTGTGGAGGTCACAGTCTGGTCCCTAGCTTGGGTGGAAACACTGCTGTGACTCAGGGCAGAAGCATAAGCTTGCTGGCTTCAGAGCTTAAGGTCATTTCTTGCTCAGTGCTGTACTCCTGGCCAGCACCAGCAGGCCTACTTAATGCAGTGAGCTCACAGAAAAGAAAGGATATATTGCGGAAGCTCAGCACTGTGTATGTTTGTGTGCATGTGCATATGTGTGTGTTTGTGTATGTGTATATGCATGTGTGCCTATGTTTGTGTGTTTGCGTGTGCGTGTTGGTAACTCAATATTGCTGCCAGCTTCTTCCTCCACCCCAGAAGAGGGATGTCTTTTAGTGGGCAGGTGGACAGGCAGGATCTGGAAGCAGCGTAAGGCAGCACCAGGAGGACCTAAGAAGGGACTGCAATGGAATCCAGAGGTCCCCTCCTCCCAAGGCCTGGATACTTGCTAATGAAGTCCCAGCAGTTTCTCCCCAGCTTCCTCGGGAGATCTGTAGACACCAGGTAAGGGAATGTTAGGATAAAAAAGCCCTCTCAAGTAGAAGAGCCCCCAGAAAGGGCACACTGCAGGGCCAGGGGACTGAGGCCCAGCTGTGCTGAGGCAGTGGGATGAACAAAATTATCAAACAGCACTGGAGAAGCTGTAAGAGGAGGGAGTCCTTATTATGATCAAACCTCTCCTGGAGTCTGGAGCTGGCCTCCAGTGAGCGGCTTCTAGGCATGTGTTTTCTTAGAACCATGGAAAGAACTAAGAGAGTAATTTAGGAAGAGGTCCAATAGGAGGTACCAACAAGCCCCTGACAGGCCTCAGGATCAATCTTAAGAACAATAGGGAGGGATATGTGTAGGATAGAGCGTATGGAACCTGACCACCCCCAAGATATAGTGCACACAGCCCCGAGCCACATGCTATTGTGAACAGAACAGAATAGCTCCCAAGCACCCTTCAGAGCCACGCCAAGGACACTGCTCTGCTTCTGGATCAGCACTGTCATGGCTTCTACTCCATTGCTGGGCCCAAAGCAGCCACTGCCACTGCTGCTCAGAAAGCTGGCCAGTGCAAAAGCAGCCAGGCAACCCTCTGCTCTGGATGAGGGAAGTGAGAAAGGGCATTCCATGGTGGAGCATGGGACTGCCCACCAACCTTAAGCTCCTGCATGGTCATCTCCTTGCCATGTTCCTTGCTGCTCTCAATGAGAATGTCCAGGGCGTCCGAGTAGTCTTTTCCCTGAGTACACTGTAGCTTCTCACGGATAGCTTTCTCTAGGCCCTTCTGAAGGGTCTGCCGAGCTTGGATGCCCTAGGGGAAAGTGGACCATCAGCTTGTCTTGAAGGCAGGGCTCACTCTAAGCCCCTGGACTACATGGAAAGATCCAGACGCAGCCTGTTGCCACTTCTGGTCTCACCTGTCTGCTCCAGTGCCCTGTGTTCCCTCCCAGCATCTACCCAGTAGTGCATTTCCCTCCCAAAGGCAGTCAGTCCTTCGCCCTCCCTTTCCACACACAGGGTACTCACCCTCCGGTAGCCACTGAAGGGCAGGTCCACTGGCAAAGAGAAAACATTCTCCACAAACTGCTGGTATACCTCAAAGAGGTGGCCCAGGTCCTCCTCAGGGATGCTGAAACCTAGCAGTACCCGCACGGCCATTCGGAAGGTAAGTCGCTGGGCCTCCTGATACACATTGATGGCCTCAGGCTGGCTGCTCCAGGCTCGAAGTGTGTCCTGGATCACCAGTTGGATCTTGGGCAGGTAGCTCTCGAGCGCCTCATGGCTGAAGATCTTGGAGAAGACCTGAAGGGCCCAGAGGCAAGTGGTAAGGGACCTGCAGCCAGGAGGAACACTGTCCATACCCATCCTGCCGTGCTTCCTGGTGGTGGCTCCAACCCAACTCCCTTGTGCAGTTTCCTATACTGAGCCCTCAGTTTACCGCCTGTGTTTGTGAGAGAGTGGGAAGCTATCCCAGCCTTGGGACCCCACAAGGGCTAAGGTGGAGACACATAAAGGAGTCTGCACTTCTGTTGAGGGGACTTTCTGCCGAGTCCCAGGACCTTAGGAGGGTGTGTCAGGAGAGGTGAGACATGAGTGTCCGGTCACAGCACACTGTTCTCCTCTGCTGAGCAGGCAAGACAACCCTCTGCTAGACAGAAAGCAGGATGTGCTAGGGACCCAAACTGTCATCAGTCCCCATGTAATGACAATTGAGTGGAGACTCTAGGAAGTGCAGAGGCTGTATCATCCAAACATGTACTGTATGGTCAGGCCTCTAGACAATAGCTTTCTACCCCCGGAAGATCACAGAGACAGAAGACCCTTTAATTCTGAGCATCTTCTAAGACCATCAAGGGTCCCTGTTCTCATACCCTGGTCTTACACTCATCCTCCTGATTGGCTGGGCAGTGTCCTGCCTCCACCCCAACACGGCATGTTTTTCACACAGCTATCCTCTGTCCGAGAGAGGGAGAGTGTCTGTTTATTTACTCAAAGCCTGTGGGTCTACTTATATCCCCAGATACAAGTCCAGAACAGAAGGTTCACCCCAGAGCTGGGAAAAAAGGGAGAGTGGCGGGGAGGATACCCACCAGCTGGTACAAAACCACACAAGCACACTGACCTCCCGCCTGCCCCCCAAACACAACCACCACACAAACTGTAAATGTGAGAATTTCCCCTGCAGTCAGCTCATGGAGGAAAAGGTAACATTTTCCTGGCCTGTGCCCTGCATGGCTAATGGGAGGGCTGGTTTGCAGAAATAACAGTGCTGGCCCTTCAGTGGCCCAGCCTTTTCACACAATAGCACTTTCATTCCCCAATTCCCAGTGGGCAGAGGGAGGGAAGGGAGGCCAGTGAGGGGCAAAGGACCATACTGCCCAGACCAGTTTCAATGCCAGGGAACAGCCTGGAGGAACAAGGGTGACAGGAGGTCCTCTAGGTCACTCACATTTGCCCAGTTCTGGGGTCCTGGGAAATTTCTTGGGAGGGGGGCTTCAGTAGTCAGAGGGTTATAGAGGAAGACTGTATTGGGTGCCTGAGCCCTTGTCCTAATGTTCTTAGGACCAGGTTCATCCTTTGGCCCAGGGGCCTTGGGGGTGGGCAAGAGTGGGCCCTCACCCTCAGGAGTCCAATCAGAGACTACTGACCAACAATGGACACTAGAGAACAGAGCTTTGGGGGGTCACCAGGAAACACAGTGGGGAGGTGGAAAGGTAACTCATGTGAACAAACACTGGAGAAGCTGGCTATGGTGTAGGAGGGGATAGTGACACCACACTGACTGAGAACTAGCAAGCTCCTGGAAGTGGTATAGGATAGGCAACGGCACAGTGGAAATCTGGTCCCAAAGACATGTGAGCCCTCTGGAGACAGCCTGGCACCCCGTACTCATACCTCACCAAGGTCCTGGGGGCCTGGCACAGGCTACCCCAAAGGCTGACAAAAGGAGGGCATCCTGAGAAGGGAACACTAGGATCATGGACAAACCCCTTGTGCCCCTTAGGTTACAATCCCTGCGCCCTCTAGTGACAGCTAACTGAATCACTTCTCTGACCCGAGGGGTCCAGAAGGGCTGAGACAACCCAGAAAGACAGGGGATACAGGGATGATCAGGAGCTGAGCAGGGAACTCTATGGCAGGGTGTCTAAACTTGTTCCGAAATGGAAAAGGGTCCTGAGCAAGGCCAGGAAGCATGGACACTGTCCTCCTGGGTCCCTGGGAAGAGGACTATCCTCTGCTGCTGCTGCTCCTCCTGGCCTGTTCCCCCATAGTTTTTTTACGGAGAGTCCATCTAGATGATTCAAAGTCCCTTTCCACCCAGATGTTCCCCATGTCTCCTTGGAAGTTTCCTCTTTCCCGCTTCCAAAAGGTGGAGAAAGCACAGTCATGAAAAACCAAGCAAAGGCTGGTAGCAGGCACTCCAGCAAGGGACCTTTGATCAGAGTCACTAAGTCGGTGGCCCTGCCTCTGCTTCAGCTGCTCTAGAGACACAGGGGCCTCCCAGTCTCTGGGAAGGTGCCGAGTCTGCATCTCTGGGTGTGAGCCCAGGGCTAACAAGGCGGGCACTTCCCAAAGCCAGGCAGCCCAGAAACCACCAGCCACCAAGGAGAACAGGCAGAGGTGCCTTGCCAGGGCAGGGAGAGGCCTGAGCCTCATCAGCTTGTTGGATATGACGCTTCTAGCCACTGGGGTCAGGCCTGGGGCACAGAGGAAGATGCCTGGGAGTGGCTCAGCGTGAAGAAGGTTCTGGCCCAGGAGCATTGGCCCTGACCACAGGCAACACAGTGGCCAGGCCGTTTTCTCTTTCATGGGGTCTTCCCTAGGAATTCCCATAATGAAGCCAAGAATGCCTCAAAAAGGCCCTTGGGGACCAGCCAGGCCCCGACAGAGCACGGCAGATCAAGCCACAGGTATGGACTTTACAAGGGATGGGTCCAGGGAGGGCAAGAACAGGGAGAGAGGGTCCTGGAGACCCCAGAACACCCACCCCAACGTACCCATAGAATCATGAGAAGGCCTAGAGGGAGGGTGGGCTCTGTTTTAAATATATCCTTGGAGAACACTCCCAAGCCCACTTGGTCTTTCCAACAACACAGTTACCTATATTTTCTGTCTCTCTGTTGGTAGAACTTGATTGTGTAGGGCCTGGGGTGCTCACCTGGGCTCCTCAAAGCCTAAAATCCCCTATAACTGTTCTTACAGATGTCTTCTCTTTCAGCCAGACTTCCTCTCCACACTAATCTGCTGTCCCTGGGATGGGAGGTCACCTTGTAATATCCCACAGCTCTCACAGGAGTGGTACCCTCCCGATCAGCCTGCAGTTGAGGATAGATGGGCAAACTGATGGGCTGCCCCAGCAGAGGGCAGGGCCTCAGAGGGAGCCCACTGCCCAGCCAGTGACTCAGCTGAGGAGGGTTGGAAGCTGCCGCCCAGGAGGGGTGGGGGCCAGGCAGGCCACCCAGCCAAGCCACTGGAGCCTCAGCCTGTGGAATGGAAAGAAAAACAGAAGGCGGGCAGCAGGCTGCATAGGGGTGACGCCAAGGTGTGTACTTTATTCTCCAGTAAAGAGGGGGACTAAAGGAGGGAGCCACTCTCCAGCTGCCTGCACTGCCACCTGGCTTCCCCTTCACCTTGGGCTGTGTTCACTCATCATTTCTGGTCAGACAGAGTGGGAAAGCACCCAGCTTCCCTACCTGCCCCCCAACCCACCTCTGTGTGTACCACACTATCTAAACTCCTCCACATACCCCAACCAAAGTACTAGAGGGGTCAGGAGCAACTGGCTGCCCATTTGCTTACCACTTTTCCAACCACAAAACCCCTCTGGAAAGCTGAGAGTCACGAGAGAAGGGTCTCCACAGGCATAGGGCAGAGTGACTGTCTATATCCCACGGTGGGATCCTCAAGTCCTGCCTCACACCAATCTTTTGGGTCTGGGGAGTCCAAGATGGCTACAATGACTGGCATTAGGGCTCAGAGCCAGAAAAGACAGCCTCTGCTGTCCCCAGCAAGGCCACATTTTCTTTCCAAAGCTGGCGGGGGGGGGGGTATAGAGGGGGAGCTAGCAGAAGGACCAAGGTGGACTTCAAGGAGACACCAGAGTCCTGGACCCCTCTCCACATCGGGAGGAGAACACCAAATGGAGGGAATACAGAAAGCAGAAGCCTCCACACTCACTCTGCCTGTTACCCAGCACAAGGGCAAGCAGCGGGAGGCACCCACACCCAGACACTCTGGCAGCTGGCCTGGGCTTCCTCCCCCACTGACCTTCAAAGAGATCCACTCCTGCCACCTGCCCTCTCAGCAGCCCCTGGGACCACTTGCTGGACCTACAGTAACTTGTGGGTGAAGAACTTCATCTATTAGGACAAAGGTTGTTCCCCTGAGACTAGGCTGTCTGGCTATGCTACCCACCTGCCCATGGACCCCGAATTAGCTTGGAGCTCCTGCTCTGAGCCAAGTCTAGATCCATGTGGTCATGTCTATGGCTATAGCCTATGCAATGAGCTAGAGGCATCCAAAGCCCAGTGGAGCAGGGTCGGCCTATCCCAAGATTTTATTTCCATGGACCACTCTGGGCTCTGCTTACTTGCTGGGCAGAAATCCTACTCTGGGGTCTTCCCTCTCCAGGGCAATCTTGGGACCCTATTTGGTACACCAAAGTTGCTAGTCTCTCAGTGCTAAGACCCAGCTCCATATAAAAACTCTGAACAAAAGCAGGGGGAAAAGGAGACTGGAGAGCAGAGGCTTCTGTTTGCCTCTTACTTCTTGTCCCCACCTTCTCAACCAGACTCCTCCCCCCCTCCCCTGGCAGCAGGCCAGCTATTCCATACAATCTGTCAGATAGGAGCCTCTGCCCCAGGTTGGGAGGGGTTCCAAAGGAGGAGACAAGGAGGGAGTCTGAGGCCTGGCTTTCACAGGTGATGCAATCTGAGTGGGGACACTCTTGAGTCCTCCAGGCAGCCCCAGCTAGCCCTAGACCACCAGGGCAGCAAGGGCCAACATGTGGAGTGCATTCGGTGATGGCTGTGAGGAGCCCTCTCCCCACACATCTGGTTAGACCTCCCAGAGAAGGGGTGCTCACCCACTCCAATGGAAACAGTGACTCTCCTAGTTCTCAGCCAGCCGTGCCCCGCACGCACACCTGGGCCCAGCTTCCTGCACACTCATCCTAACCAGGCTGGGGCATGGCCCTTACTGCAGTGTGAGCTGAAAACACTCACCCTGGCCAGAAAGATGCCCTCCAGGCTTTGCATCCTCAAGATTGACACATCTCTTCAGGGCAACATGGACATTCATGAACACGGCCCCTGAGTACTCAATTTTTGTCCTTCCTGTGAGTTCCTACTTCCTGAGGTCAAGGATCAAGCTTCCTGCTTCTTAGTACGTATAAAATTCAGTAAACTCGGGATCATGGATCCTTGATAAAGGTCCTACTCACGTGACTACCACACAGCAAGCACACACACACTGGGCCCTCGGTGTTTTGTTTCTGCCTGGATCAATATGTGCTAGCCTTTGACCATCCTCTGTCTCTAAGAGCAGGAAGGCCAGGAGCTCAGAAAACTGCAGAGTCTTAGTGTCTGGTTACCCATCTCATCAAAACTGTGTTCCATATCTGTTGCCCTGGGCCTCACCCTCCTTCCTGGTCAAGCTTTCTTCCTCTGAGGACCTTGCCCCCACCCCAACTTCCTGCAGCCCCAGCAGGCAGGCTGAGTGATGACTTTGCTGGGTTCAAGTCTCACTCTGAGATCCCTCTGCATCCTGTCTCTGAAGGTCTCAGAAGGTGAGGAAGCCATCAGTGGCTTGGAGCTGAGTTCCCTGAAGGTCTCAGCTCCATTGATGGAGCCTCAGAAACTAAAGGGAGAAACCACTGTTCCCTAGCCCCTCCCCCATGTGTCAGCAAGCTGTGTTAACTGCTTCCAGTATCCAGTCAGGCCTTCGGGGCCTTTCTGAAGAATTTTTGGTAGACCTGTACATCCTCCTTTGATTTTTTTTTTTCTCCCTCTTGTGCCTTCCTAGGAGAACGACCCTTACAGAGAGGTTTGGTTCGGAGAACAGGAAAGCCCAGACAGCATTGTTAAGTGAAGATTCCCACTGCTTCTCAGTCACCCAGGCCACCTAACAGTGGAGTCGCTGACCAAGATCATGGTCCCCGCGGTCTCCTCTCTTTCCTATTCCTTGTTCCACTGCTCCTCCCCGAGGCCAGAGGCCCCCTTTTCTTCTTTTTAGGTTCCAAACCTGAGCGAGTCCTCTGACCCAATGGAAAAAACAGAGTGAAGGAGCCTTGCAGCCTCCTTCTGGCGGCTTCCAGCCCAAGGCCGGCGCCCCGCCCGCCGGCAGGCTCAGCCTTCGGGTTACTGTAGTTCAAACAGCACGTGCCGCCCGCGCTCCCAGCCCAGCGGTGGCGGCGGCGCAGCTGGAGGGGGCGGGGAGGCGTGCTGCGTGTGCGCTGGCTCGCCTGCTGCGAGTCTTTGCTCTAGCTCGGGAAATCCACCGGATAAACACCCACTTTCTCTTCCTCTTTCTGGAGAGTGGGTGCGCTTTGAACCTCTGCGCACCTAGACTTTGCTCCCACCCCTTGCCCTTCCCCCACCGGACTGCGTTCCTGCTAGAGCAGGGCCCCTAAGGCTAGCCTGGAAGACCGCTGCCCGCAGGGTGTCTTCAGTCCAGCAACATAGGACAGACTCGCCTTCCATGCAACCTGTGGCTGCTAGGCCAGGTTTGGTTTTCAGCACCACCATTCTTTGGGGGATTGGGGGAAGCTTTGAGAAAAAGGTGGCGGGGAGTCCGGGGTGAAACAACCGCCCGCCCTGCCTCCTTATTTTTTCCAGTAGAGTGATGCGCTGAGCAACTGCATCCCTTACAGCAGACCCCACACGTACAAGCTTTGTCCAGACATCCGCAGGCAGGTCCTATTACCCTTAGTGGTGTCCACCGTGCAGTGCGCTAGCCAGAAGGTGCATTCGAGTGGATCAAGAGGAGGCCCAAGCAGAGTCGGGATTCGGGCAGGAAATTGTCTAGGCAGGGGAGCTCAGATATCTGTGCCCCTTACCCGAGGCAGCTAATCCTAAGACAAAGGTTCAAGCTTTTACCTTGCGCTTGTTGCGGTGGATGTCGCCAATGGAATTGGCCACGGTGTTGGGACCCAGCAACACGCGTGCGCTCCGCGGCCACTCGGTGCTCACTAGCTGGTGTTCGCCCAGTAGGATCTTGCGCACGTTTTCTGCACCGGTCACACGGATCAGCGGCCGCCCCAGTAAGTGTGTCTTGAAAACGTTGCCATACTTCTCCCGGCGCGACGACTGGAAGCCTGAACCCTGCGGAAATCACACCAGAAGCCTCTAAGGGCTGACTGAGGACCGGCCGGGCCCTTGCATCTTGCCCTACTCTAGCACCAGCCACCTGGTCCCTGTCACCCCCTCTCACCCAACACACACACACACACACACACACGCACGCACGCACGCGCACACACACTTACAGGTTTTATTTCACGGCGTGCATTAGAACTGGGAAGTGGGGCCTAGAGTGTAATAAATAATGCGGTAGGACGGAGATGCAGGGGCACCCACGGAAGGCTACGTGGGAGGGGGACATGTATCCCCGACGGCTAAATCTGAAGCTGGAGCCTGCTCCCCCACCTCTGCGCAGCGGAGCCTCTCGGAATAAATATTTCCAGGCTCCAGGCCACGGGCTGGCGAGACCCCGCGGGGTGGCCGCAGGCCAAAGATTATTTATAGCGGCGCGTTGTGCGTGCCCGGAGGCTGTCCCCAGAGATGGGGGTTGGAGTTTCCTCTCTGCTCCGGTGTGGCCCTTCGTGGGCTCCGCAGGGTGGAGTCTTGGGCCCAGAGCCACAACTCTCCTGAAGCATTTGTCCTGGGAATAACTGGGACGGACTTTCGTCTCCGCCCTTAAATTTGGAACTAGAGCTAACTGGGGAAGGTGCTTCTGAGGGGCGGCGGGATGGGGCGCGGTGACTCGCGCAGGTAATCGGATCGCGGGCCCTTGGCCGAGCTCTGTGCTCCAAGGCCAGCGGCCTGCGGTGCCGGAAACCTTCGTCGCATTCGCCACCCGGCCCGCCTTAACCCTTCTCCCGCCGGGACGCACTGGGTGCAACGGGGCGGGGAACCACCTGTCCGTTCGCTCCAGCCAGCCAGTAGAACTGTGGCAGGGGATCCCGCCTTTGCGTCGTGGTCTCCTAGGAACACGTGGCTCCCTCTACCCGGAGACAGGAGGCTCCCCTTTCCTGACTTGCCCCCCTTCCTCACTTTTCTTTCTCTCGGGGAAACTATATACTCCAGTTAGAAGTGAACACGCCCCAGATGCGAAAAGTGGCTACAGAACCCAGATTCTTAATGGCTTTTCCACATGCTTCTGGGCCCGGCGCGCGACAGGGAACAGGCCGGGAACCCCTGCGCCGCCTGGAGGGGCCGAGTTGGGGACGCCCCCATCCAGACGCCAGCTTGGACGGCGCCGGCTCCTTTAAGAGAAGTCGGGGCGGAGGTGGGGTGCGGCTGAGGGGGGCGCGGAGCGGGGTTCCCGTCCTCGTCTGCCGTGCAGTCTCCCTCGCTCCGTCTCACTCGGTCTCTCCTCTCCCGTCTTTTCCTCTGTTTTTCTTTTCTTTCGACACAAAAGTCGGGTTGTGAATTTTCCGAGGTCGCCGCCGCCTTGCCCCCACCCCCGCCTCTGATCTGCCTAACTATAATTAAAGTGCGTTTTTTGTGGCTTTAATAAAGAGTTATTTGTCCGCCGTTTCCACGGCCTTCACAAAGAGGACTTTCATAGGGGCGGCCGTTCGGGCCGCGAGTCCAATTTATACAAAAATGTATTTTTAGCCCTGGGCTCTGTTTAGATGGTGCTTAGTGGAAACCGAGAGCCCTTGGAGGTCCCCCGTAAAATCTGATAAATTACTCCGAAAAAAACACCGGATTCGGAGAGTTCGCTTTAACCCCTTCAGCACCCGCGGTCCCTCCTCCCGGGGGATTTGACCCCCAGGGACGCGGATGCCCAGGCGAAAAGCGCCTCTCTAACTTTTGTGCTGGCTGCACCACACCCGCAAGGGCCCTTGTGTGAGACTGAGAAAAATGGCAAGGGACATGGGGGTGGGGCAGGTCGGGAAACAGGATGAGAACGAGGGTTCGGAGGATTTGCCTTAAACAGGCGGGAAACAGTGCCACTTGAGTTATTTTCTAAATTCTCGGCTAAAGCCAGGACCACCACCACAGTTAACCCTTTAAATGTGAAGACAAAAAAAAAAAAAAAAAGACCAGGCGAAAGAGATCTTGTCTCTAAAGAACAATCCGATTGGTTGAAGGGAACCCCACCGGATTAGGCAAGCAACCCCCAAAAGAGATGGTCCAATTGTGAGGCATGGAAAGATCCAGGGGAACCTCTCAAGCCCCTCCATGCGGCTTCTCTACTGTCACTCGTCCCCCAACGGGGCGCGGTGGTGTGTGCGTGTGTGTGTGTGTGTGTGTGCTCACGCGCACGGACTGCACGCGTCTATTAATTTCAAGCCAAGCTTTCGCACGTCTAAACCCATTGGTCTGCGCACACACGCGCACGCTCATCTTTCGTTTCTCCTTTCAGGGGTGGGGGTTGTCTGTTTCAGGATATCCAGGCTGCCTCTAATGTCCATGAGCACCCGCCTGACAAACACGCCTCCTGCAGTTACCCCAGAGGTGCACCCCCCAAAAAAACTGGGGTGTATCAAATTGCAATAAGCGATTGTCTAGCATTGGACGAGGTTAAATCCAGGTTAATCTTCCTACTACCTACCTGGGTTTGGTCCTCAACGCGCCTGTCTCCAATTGTCACCAGAGTGGAGTTGTGAAGCGTCCAGTTGCATGGGCACACTCTGGGTCTTTTGCATACTTCTTCTAGTTACCCTCTGCTAAACTGTCCCCACCCAATAAGCAAACAGACCCTTTTTCCCCTGAAAGCTGAGAGCCTTCAACTCTTCTGCTTTGAATTTCTCTTCGGTTATCTTCTTTCTCTCCCACCAGAACTCAGAGACACAGATGCAGATGCGCGTAAACACACACACACACACACACACACACACACACACCAGAGGACGGGGAGAGAGAGGTGAGAAGCACCTCGTACTCGCACAATTGTACCTGAGCCTGAGCCTAATGCACTGCAGAATGCTGCCCAGGTCTTAAAGCGGGCCATTCAAGCCCTCTCCTGCCACAGGCCCTCTCCTGCTTTACCTCTCCGCGCCTAGGTAGATACCCAGGACGCTAAAGTCGACTTGGGCTCAGAGACAGAGGTAAAAACTAAGCGACACCCCTCCAGACTCGCTCCCCAGCGCTCTCCGCGCACCCCTGCTTGGACGCCTGCAGCCCAGGAGCATCACGCTTGGGAACCCTCTCTGCTACCGACCCGGTCAATAGTCTTAACTAGCTAGCTCACCCAGCCTCTTAACTAGCTCACTGGACGCCGGAGGTCTCCGAGTCGCGCTGCAGGCGAGCTGGGGAAACCCAGGCGGCGCCGGCTGAGACAAGGAAGGGGCGGGGCGGGGACCGGCGCTTCCGAGTGTCCGAGCTATCGGCGCCCCCTGGCCGGACACCCGCGGCTAGCGGACTCCTGGAGCAGCTGGGCGAGAGCGCGCTTACCTGTAGCAACCAGTGACCAGTCTCTCCGATGAGCGGGAATCCCATGGAGCCCTTGGGGATGGGCAGCTTGCAGCTCTTGTCGCGGGTGGCAGCCCAGCGCAGCTGCCACAGCTGCTGCGACACCGCCAGCAGCAGCGTCACGGACACCAGGCACGCGGCGAGGGTGGCCAGCGCCGACACCAACTCCAAGCCCTCAAACAGCATGTTGGCGGCCGCTTGGGGGATTGGCTGTGCGGTCCGCGATGGGGGAGGGGAGGGCCGGACCAGAGTTACGGGGGGAGGTGAGGCTGCGGCCGGGGGTCCTGGCACCCCTCGGAGAAATCCAGGAGATGGGGCCGAGGGAAAGGGTCTGGAGGCTGCGGGGTGATCGTAGAGAGGGAGGAAAAAGATTCCCTGGAAGAAGAGAGAAGACACGAGGCGACTCGAGGTGTAACTTTGTTTGTTTGTTTGTTTGTTTGTCCCTTTATGCGGGCTTAGGGCTGCTCTGGGGAGGTGAGATGGAGCTGAGTTAAGCTGGTGAGCTTGCTCTCCCCGCAACCATCACAGACGAAAAACTTTGGAAAACTTTATCCACCAGGAATCTCTCGGAAGCCCCTTTCCTGCTTAAAGCTGGGGGGGGGGGGCAAAAAGAAGGGGAACCGAGAGCTAGCGGAAAGTGCGATCAATTTATCAAAACTATTTCTCCAAAATTCCTAGGTACATAAAAAGAAGAAAAAAATCGGAATTCAAAAATTCCAACGAACCCAGAAACTTTGGGGGCTTGGGAGAAGGCTCCCCAGATGAGGCGAATGTAGAGGCTGGAGCGGCCGCGGCACCCGGAGGCGGGCGAGGCGGGCGCGTTGGCCCGAGCGCGAGTGCGGAGTCGGCCGGCCGCAGCGGGGAAGGGACGCAGCCGGCGACAGAGCCCCGGGCGGGCTCTGGGGCGGCGGCGACGGGAGGGAGGGGTGAGGCGGGGTGGGGTGGGGGAGGAGGTGGGAAAACCCGAGCCCGGCTATCTATCAATTAAGAAAAGGCAGTCTGTCCCGGGACGCAGTCTCTCGGCTCTGGAGTTGCTGTTGGGGAAAAGAAAAGAGATGGGGGGTGGGGGGAGAAAGAGAGAAAGAAAGGCAAAAAGAGATGAAAGAGGGGGAAAGCAGGAGGCAGGACTTCAGGGCTGGTGGTTTGAAAAGCGTCTCTCAATCTGATTTGATCCAAGGCAAGGCGATGCGTGTGTTTATATAGAGGCGGGAGCAGCGCCGTGGGCGCGCGTCCAGCACCCCCCCTGGGCGCGCTCACAAAGCGGGAGGCGTGGTGAGAGGCCGGCCGGCTGCCGAGCGTGTGAGCTCCCGCCGGCCTCCCGCCCAGCCGCCCCGCCCGCCGCCCGCCGGGGACCCACTTGTAGGCGCCTCAGGATCAAACTCAGTTCACCTCGCGCCTTCTCTTCCTTCTTGCCTGCGCCTTGCCGAGTCCAGCACCTACAAACGGATGAGATGAGACACATGCCCGAGCGCGCATGCACACACTCATGCGCGCGCACGTACACACATATAACACACACACACACACTCACGAGAGCACGCGGTGCGCACCCTCTTGGTGCTGGTTTGACTATAAAGATACTTTACTCCCGCTTTTCTCCCTCCTGGGTTCCCGAACCTGTTTCCCAGCTTTCTGCTGTCCTGAGTGGAACGTCCTTGTCCTAATGTCCTCCTCGATTGAAAGTTGCCAGAGTCTCCTAAACTCAGACTCCATCCCGCAGAATTCCGTGGGACCCGGCAGCCTCCAAGGATACATGTTATTCTTTCCTAATTGCCTATAGCTAGTGTCCCCATTCCTAATATCTGCATCTACAAACCTCCCTTGTTCTAGGTCCACATGTTTCGTACCGTCCAATGCCTTGAGGGTCTTCTGTGCCTGCGTGAGTCACGGGCTACCAACTCTCCAACACCCCCGAGGACCCCAACACACACACACACACACACACACACACACGCACACTTTACTAACCAGCATCATAACTACAGTGCTGGTCCCGGAAAGTGCCCAGAACCTGAGACATGTGCAGTACCCAGAGGCAGCAGGAATCCTGTAGATAGGTTCTCTGATACATTTGAATAAGTAAACATGCCTATGAGTGCGACCACCTTCTCAGAGCTGGCCACAGAGTCCAGAGCTCCATCCTATGTGAAGTATGATTGTGGCACCTGCATGTGCTCCTACCTGGCGTCGAATAGACGCTAGTGGAGAGAACTGAGTTTGAGAGTCTCCCCATAACCGTATGTGTCTGCACATCCATGGATCCGCTTGTTATATGGCCTCTCCTGAGAGCCCGGGACTGAGCTGTGCACACCCGCACCGATATTTGCTTGAGTAGCGCGTGGCGTGGCTCTCCCTGTCCGTAGCCTCTGGGTTTCCCCAGACCTCAAGTCTTCTCGTTCCACTCCAACACTCCCGGAGCAAATAATAGTAAAAATAAAAATAAATCATCCTAGACATCCCACCTGTAGTTTAGGGTGCTGGGCGTGTAAACTAATTCATCCTACGCTGCTAATAGTCCCCTGCATCCAGTATAGGTTCTGCTTTAGAGCTCACTAGCAGAAAATGTGCGAGAGCTTCTAAGTGCTGTCTCTCCCCAGGGAGAGTGCGACAACTGAAGTTGGCGGCCAGCAGAGCTCTTCCAGCCTGGCTCTGGCTGCAAGCGCTGGGTCAGCTCCATGCTCACTCTCTGCCTTGGAACCCCACCTGGTGGTTAGTTTTAGTACTACATCTGCAGGGGACACTACGCTTTCCCCTCCTTAAATATCTTTTCCTAGCTGAGGACAAGCCCCAAAGAGATAGCCTGAAGGCATTCCTGGCGGTTCAGTTTAAGAATCCTTAGGCTGCCCACCTCTGCAGGACAGTCGAAACTGGGACACTGAGTAAGTCATGTCAGGACCACTGTGGCCCTAGAAATAAAGAGCTTAGGAGTGTTTGCCTAGGGGAATTTTACTTTACAGGACTGCCTTGCAAGCAAGATCAGTGAGGCCAGTGTTAATCCAGTCTCCCTGGGAGGATGGCAGAGTGTGACTGGGGAAGTTTTGGGGACCTGATGTCTTGAAATACCCCATGAATATGACCAGGTTGCCAGTATTGCCAGGCAAAATGACCTTAAGGGAAGACCCACACTGGGCAGAGGGACATAACACAACTACATGGAGGTCTACCATGAGGCTGCATGGGAGCAAGTATTGAAATATACAAGGCCATACACATGAATCCTTGTCTACAGCCAGGAAATGCCTCTTTCTAAGCCACCAAACTGAATCCACAGGACCTGCCCACTCTGGGGTCAAAAGTCCACACTCCCTTGTACTGTCTCCTCCCTCCTCCTCCATCCCCCCATTTTGGCTTTGGGACCTATTTTGCTCCCCTCTGCCTTTCTGGACTTTCTTCTCACTCAAGTGTGGAGTGGGAGTTGGGAGGGAAAGGAGGGAGTCCTAAGTCCTTACTGCTGAGCTGTCAAGTGCAGCTCTGGGGAATGTCCTGGGGGGGGGGGGACACACAGCCCCACTGCAACAGCTGCAGCATGTCCTAAGGAGAAATGTTTGTCTTCAAGTCTCCATGAGTGCTGCAGAGGAGAGAGGCAGGAACATCCGCTGCAGCAATACACAAGGCTTCTTGGAGGTGCTACAGGTGAATTGGCAAGCTGTATCTGACAGAACTTGCAAAGAAGCTAGTTGCACAGAGGGAGACCAAGAGCCACCTTTGTTGGTCACATACACAGGAAGGACAATCTGTTAGTGCCCCAGGGTGGACTTCTGATGCTCACAACAGACATAGGCCTGGTCCACAACCCCTGCCATAAAACAAACCTTTGACCAGATTAAGCCTTAATCCTGGTCACTGAGACATACTGACTATGACCCCAGGCTGGGTCTCTGTAGCACAAGCATTTCCAGGTCAGCCTCTGGCTACAAAGCACAGCATTTCCCTTACAAACTATCTAAGCTAGGACTTAGCCCCAAGTCTCCTTGGGCAGGCTAGGGCTCCAGGTCAGAACTGTCAACTAGGCCTTGAAACGATCTGCACGTCCCCAGGTGAGCACCTCCTTCCCATCCAGGTGAATACTGCTAATCTCAGCGACTCACAAAACCCTTTCCACAGTCCAGATACGTCCAGGGCTCCAACTCCTGCCCACAGTGCACCGAAGTCCAGATTTAGGAAGTGTCCACAGAGCACTCCAGGCACTTTGAAATCAGCCAGAGCAGAATGGGACCTCAGTCAGGGTACACTGTGTCACAGGAAGTTCTGCCTAGGTAACATTTGCAAGGCTTACTAGATAGGCCTGAGAGAATATGAAGAGTAGGCCTCAGGCACAGTTCGAGGCTGAAGACAGGAGGCAAGACAAATTCCTCTGGAGCTCAAGAAATCCCTGCACAAGCATAGATCGGTCTCAAGGCCCACTTCTCAGGACACAGAGCTGCCAGGATGGCCGTGTGTCCCCAGCCTTCCTGCACACAGAGTAATGAGAAGAGCTTCCCTTCCACCCCCTCTCTGTGCAAGTTCCTGGTAATCCCTTCCACATACTGCTCACAGCGCTGCAAGGTTGCAAGGTAACACTGTTTTGTAGAGGGATTTGTATATGTTTGATAAGAACACTGCCCACTGTTTTGCTCTGCTTCCTTTCCTACCAACGGGAGCACATCCCCTGAGCAGGGGAGCACATCCCCTGAGCAGCGACACTTTCGGTTCAATGAGGGAAATCCTCCATTTTATACCCAATTTGCATAGTTTAGGCCCTGATTTTTCCCAGTTGATGCCTCAATATATTCACCCCAACACTTTTCATTTCTTTAGCCAGAAATGAGTGAAAATGTGAGCAAGTGGAAAGTGGAGACCGAAAGACCAGGCAGTGGTGGGTGGGAAGCGTGCCTGGGCACTTAAGGACCAACTGGGCTGGCCTAGTGTCTCTCAGCTGTCTGGGAGCTGTGTAGCTGGAGAAATAGCAGAGGTACTTCCCACCGGAGATCTGTCTGTCTGCCACACTAGTCCAAAGGAGACCTTGGAAAGCTAATCTCATAGGGTTCCAGATTGGCTTTGTTCTGTTCTAAGCCCCCTGCCCTATACCCCGAGTCCCTTGCCTGTAAAAGCCCTGGGTCAGCAGGTTCTGCCCAGACCCTTTTGCAGAGCTTCTGTGGGAACTGTACACTCCTGCGGATAAGAAGGGGCCCTCCACCCTGGATTTCTGCTTTCGTCAGTGTTCCTCTCCCTGTCTTTGCCTACCTTCCTGCCTCTCTGTGTTCCCCAGACCAGGCGCCACAAGGCCAGTGGTAGCCCTCTGGTGTCCAGAAACTCAAGGGCAGGTTAGAGGACATTGCATGAGTATGCCCTTGCTCTTCAGAGAGGGGCTGGACACCTGCTGTCCATGCTGCTGTGAAACACGCCAGTGTTAGGAATCGCCTCTCTAGAGCCCGCAGAGCTAAGTGTCCCACTCCACAGAATGGCTTCCGGATGGCTGGCTGTACAGAGAATTCAAGAAGCTCTTCACAACTGCCACCTAAAATGAACCCCACCAGCCCCAGCCTCTTTGGAGGTGCCTGGTCACTGTTACCAAATCCAAGGGTACATTCTATTTCTGCCGTTTTATCTTGTAGGCCTTCCTTTTCTCTGTCCCTTACGGAGCCTTGTCCCTACCCTGTACACACACTCATGTACCTTCGGCTATGTTCTTGATTTTTTTTTTTTTAAAAAGTAATAGTCCATTTGCAAAAGGTTCAACCTGGCAGAGGTCTGACTGCTCACTCCC